GGGGGAAAATGGGGGGAGAAATGAGGGGGGAAAGGGGCAAAAATGGGAGAAAATGGGAATAAAGTGTGAGAAAAGGGGCAATAAAAGGGGAGTAAAGGGGGAAAAAAGGGGAAAAAAGGGGAAAAAAGGGGAAAAAAGGGGAAAAAAGGGGAAAAAAGGGGAAAAAGGGGGAAAAAGGGGGAAAAAGAGGGAATGTGAAAAAGGCAGGAGAAGGGGGAGAAAGGAGGTGAAAATGGGGGGAAAAGAGGAGAAAAAAGGGAAATTTCCCTGCCTGGGATTGCAGGAAGGAGACAAAACAAACCCTGCTCAGTTCCCAGACGGGCTGGGCTGCCAAAATCCACAGCTGGGAGCTCGCCCAGATGTGCCAGGGAAGGAGGGGAGGGAACACCGGGAAAAACAGAGAAAAAATGGGGAAAAAAATAGAGAAAAAATGGGGGAAAATAGAGAAAAAATAGAGGAAAAAATAGAGAAAAAATAGAGAAAAAATGGGGTAAAATAGAGAAAAAAATAGAGAAAAAATAGAGGGAAAATAGAGAAAAAAATAGAGGGAAAATAGAGAAAAAAACAGAGAAAAAGGGGGGGAGATGGGAAAAAGGGAAAGAGAAGGTAAAGAAAAAGGGGGGAAAGGGAGCTCATCCAGATGTGCCAGGGAAGGAGGGGAGGGAACACTGGGAAAAATAGAAGAAAAATAGAAGAAAAAAATAGAGAAAAATAGAAGAAAAAATAGAGAAAAATAGAGAAAAATAGAGGAAAAATAGAGGAAAAAATAGAGAACAATTAGAGAAAAAGATAGAGAAAAATATAGGAAAAAATAGAGAAAAATAGAGGAAAAAATAGAGGAAAATAGAGGAAAAAATAGAGAAAAATACAGAAAATACAGAAAAATTGAGGAAAAATAGGGGAAAAAAAATAGAGGAAAAATATGGAAAAAATAGGGAAAAATAGAGAAAAAATAGAGGAAAAATATGGAAAAAATAGGGAAAAATAGAGAAAAAATAGAGGAAAAATATGGAAAAAATAGGGAAAAATAGAGAAAAAATAGAGGAAAAATATGGAAAAAATAGGGAAAAATAGAGAAAAAATAGAGGAAAAATATGGAAAAAATAGGGAAAAATAGAGAAAAAATAGAGGAAAAATATGGAAAAAATAGGGAAAAATAGAGAAAAAATAGAGGAAAAATATGGAAAAAATAGGGAAAAATAGGGAAAAATAGAGGAAAAAATGAGATAAAAAATGGGGGAAACAGGGAAAGAGAAGGGGAAGGGGGGAAGGGGGATTTCCCTGCCCGGACCGCCGGGCCCGGCGC